GGAAATTTTGTCAAATGCTTAAGAAAAACTCACGTAAGGTATTGATTGTACCTACATAACTGACCTACCTACACTTTGCAATTCAAAGAAGAAAAAATTAAAGACAAAGGAAAAGGAGGCCCAAAAGCAGAGTGCCTTATGTTTATATACAAGCAGCTGTTAACTTACTTTATCTATACATGGCTTGACACCAATCATGATAGATTCCCCAAAAATTCTTCCGTCTTTGCTTAAGGCTTTCCGGGCTTGAAGCTTAGACTGGTATCGAATATGCATCCAGTTTCCTGTGTTGGACATCTGTATGAGATTAAGTGAAAATCAAATTTAGCCTTTTAAAGAATGAGTCAGAATGTTCACAGAAATCAGTCTCAAACTAAGACATACCACATGCTTTAGTATGTTTCCATACTGAGCAAATTGTAGAAGAATATATGAAGCTGATGCTTGAGGAAATCTGAAAGACAGAAAAAATACTCAAAAAATTACAATGAGTACTTTAGAATTCCAGTGCTAAAATACAACCCAGTGAAGAGTTTCTAGAAATCCAAAAGAGACCAGTATGTTCATGCAGTGACTTGAGGAATATTATCTTTAGGCATTTTTACTTCACCATGTACTTCAACAGTAGAATGCTGCATTTCTAACTTGAAGAATATTAACACAGCTTAAGTTAAGGTGTCTCACTAAAACTTGCTGGCTTTAACCACAGGAGTATTTCCTGCAGAACCTAGGAATGCCAGACAAGAACAACATCCAAATACTGTTTTTCATGTGTTGCAAAGACTTCACCCATGGTTTTTCTAATACTTTGGAAATCATCTTACCCAAATACAGTTACCCATGTGTCATCAAGTTGATCTTCTGAAGTCAGGGAATCACCCTGAGTATAGAAAGGATCTAGTTGAGCAGGAGATAGAGTAGTCTTCCTAGGCTGCCCAATACTTGCAGGACTGAACATACTTGAACCTGTTAAATTGAAATGACATTGTTTAACAAGTTACTTTGCAAGAAAGATAAGCTTAAGAGCCTATAGTAAAAGAATAAATTCAGTATTGAGCATTTCACTTGCATATGAATGAGTCTGATGGAAATCTATTTGTGCACACAGACACAGTCAATCCAAACTTCACGGCAAGCACGCTAGTAAGTTTCATGACTAGCAACATAGCTTTCTCCTTGACCTCTAAATACCAGCAGCTTAATACAGAAGACAAATAGGAACAAGAGAGCACAATTAAGCTTAGCAATAAGCCACAGGTTCATATACAAGATAAGAAACCTTATTAAGATAAAAGGCAACCCATCAATCTCAGCTGCTTCACTCAAGCACAACCATTTCCATGCTCAGTTCAACAACAAATTTCGAATAAGGAGTCAGTAAAGCTGATTGAAAGTCAGTCCGTCTCAGAGTGGAAAAGTATTTCCTATTCACATCCACATCCCTTTTGAAAAGCTAGTAAATAAAGATGCAACTCCTTCGCAAATTAGCAAGGAGTTGATGTAGCTTGAACAGTGATGGCTTTTAGTGTATTAAGGAAAGCAGCAAAAAGTAGATTATATCTTTTGACAGGACATCTACCTGTTCCAGGAGTTGATGGCATAGTTCCAACCAGTGGGCTCTGTGTTAGAGAAAAGCTGGCCTGCATTAAAATACAGAGAGTAACAAATCATTCTTACAGGTACACTTCTCAGATAAGAGATTATTTGCAGGTAACTTAAGCATCAGGCAAAAATATTAACTGTTTGCCTTAAGTTACTCCTAACTTTTAAGAGTGAGAACAGACATTTACATGTATATTTAATATAAGATTATTAAAAGTTATTTGACAATGTTTTTACATTCTAGCACACAGCCTAGCAGATAGCCTGGACATCCAGTAGGCTTCAACTATTAAATTCTGGAATTTCCAGCTGATTACTAAGTCTTAGAAGAGAACGCACTTAACTTTCCTGATCAGAGGCTTAAATGCAGGTATCAGACAGTATGGGAGTATAGAGAAAACTACAGAAGGGAAGTACCACAAGCAACAGGTCTGTCTACAATATTTCATTATCTTAACAAGAGCGAGCTACAAGCATACAAGAAGAAAGCTTATTTAGGCTTAGGGTGTGCTTTAGGTAATAGGGACTGAAGAAATCCATTACCCAACATCAATCACACATGCTTTGTGGAACCAAGTACCTTTAGGTATCAATACTCAGAAAGCTTATAGTTTAGCTTTTTCAAAACAGGCACCTCACTTGTTGCAGTATAGTAATTCACACATTCACGTGCATCCTATTTGAAAGGATGCCAGTATCCTAAGTTACCAGCATCTGACTTTCACGGTTTGAAGGGCTCAGAAATCATGGGAGTACAACCCCTAATTGTATTCCTCATCATCAGACTTATTTCCCTCTCAACTACTTAGTGCAACTACACTTAAAGAAAGCACAGTTCAAGTTTTAGCTGCTAGTACTTATTTTCTTTTTAACATGGAAATATTTCAATATCCAAAACAATTTCAGTGTATTTTTAGCCTGAATTATGGCATTTCTTAGATACAAGATCAAACAAATTGGAGCGCCTGTGGACTTCACAACATGTGATCTGATAACTGCTCTTTTTTTTTTCAATATCCAGTCCTTGAAGACAGTACTGGGTTCTGTGCTTCACAGAGAACTTGAACTTTCAGCATAAACTTTTCAGAAGGCACCACACAATAATAAGACTGCTCATTCAGTGAAAGGTCGTCTCCTTGCATCTAAAGAGTCACATTCACTGAGAAAGAACCTACTAATGCTTGACTGCTCAGCTGAGGTAACTAGCAGGCCTTCTAGAAATGTTACTGTTACTCTTTCAAATTTAGCCCCACTTCCCTGCCCAAATTTTGACTGGATATTTTACTCAGCACAAAATTCCTTCTATTTCAGTAAGTGCCCACTAAAAGAAAAGATAACATCTATTTGGATCCTTCTGGCAATCAGCAGCCTAATAAATTTATAAAAAGGTGAAAATCTGAAAAAAATTCTCATTTGTCATGTATAAAGCATAGCAGAGGCATGATTTACATTTTTTGTTCTCTACAGTATTGAAAATCAGTAACAATAGAAGATAGCTCCACGACTACAGCTTGCATTTAAACTACACAGGAACAAGCACACCAAACACCCAGGCTAAACTACAGCATAATCTGAAGACTCACCAGTCATTTTGCTACAGCAGTTTATACAACTGAGTTAAAGAATTCACTGCAGCAGTGAGCTACCTCACATCATCTGCGAAGAATAGGCCAGTACCTAAGCCACTTACTGGTCTTCTTGAGGTTAGAGGTGTTGATCCAGGACTACTCAGTTCATCATATATGCTTCTAACTGGTGGAGCACCACTTTTATCTTTATGCGTAGGGACTACTGGTTGTGGGGGAGACCCTCCTGCAATTAAAAGGAACAGTGAATGAAGCTGTTAACTACACACTCGTACTTCTCAGAGAAAACAAACATATAATAAGACCATTTTAGGAACATGGGTAAGGACTTTTTCTAATCAGACTACTTAGGTGGTTGGACAGAGATGAGCATCTACAGCTAGGAAGAGCCACTGCTCCTCCAGCCCAATTACAGCAGACACCAAGGCTGTAAATACAACCCCTAGATACTAATTAAGGAGTATTTTTTATATTTCTCCATCCAGTTTTTATTAGTCTGACAACTTGTGAGTCATTTTTTAGCATTCATTGCAGAAAAATCAGCAGCCTGCACAAGCTGCATTTAGCTTGCCAGCAGACATCTCTGTTTTAAAGAAAGAGTAAACATTGATGGCTGTATGTGTAACTGACTTGTGAAGAGCTGTATAAATTGATTTTATATTAGGGGAGGGTCATATTAACCTCCCTGTAAAAGCAACATTTCCCAGTACCAGAACTGCTATGTTTAAAGCATGTATTAAACTAGACTAATTTTAAGAATTGAGTCAAACTCCATTGAGCACACTTGAGTTCACCATTTATTCAATGAGTTGAGTTCATTTATAGCAAGTTATAAAACTACAAGAATTCAAAGTCTGCAACAGTCATGTAGAACAATAAGATAAACCAAAATTTTGTTTTCGGGACAATTTTTCAGCATTTAATGAATTCTGACCTGCAAGCAGTGGAGACCTCATTTCCATTACGCCAATTGAAGGGCCGCTTAAAGCTCGTGGTTGCGGAGTCACTGGTGCAGGTAAATCGCCCATCAAGAACCCAGGAAGAAACTGAGCACTAGCTCCTGGTTTTGGAGATGTTGGGGAGCCAAGAGTCATTGGCTCAGCTCCTGCGTTAATGCAAACAAAATTTTAAAACATGGAAGAAGCCAAGGGATCTAGCCTCTTGCATTGCTTAAACAGTGATTCTATTAAACATAAAACAGTATATAGTAGAATAACTATGACAGTTAGAATAATTTATTTTCCAAGTAAGCAAAGTTTATCACAGTCTTCCATGTTTCGCAACTAGAAGAACTGCCACGCTGATACTTTGTTCTTAAATTACTTTAATTTGATCACAGATGGATTTCTGGTTTGGAGAGTAATTGTGGGGTTTTAAAGGAGCTTCTCATGTAAAAGCAACTATGCCAAGCTGAATTCTCCTCCCCGGCCAGCCGGTTCCGCACCTCAGCACGGGAACGTACCCAGAGCACCCACCACCACAACCAGCCTCGCCACACCCTTGAGCTAAGGTTTTGGGGTGCTTCAGTGTCATGGTTTAGGGGTGGGCTGGCCCTAAACCGGGACATTCAGGTACGGATCTTCTATCACGGAAGTCTAACCACACGGCCTCTTCTGCTTCAACCCAGTGAAAGGCTCGGCTTGGCACGGTCTCCCACCACCCAACTCAGCCCCACCACCACAACCAGCCTCGCCACACCCTTGAGCTAAGGTTTTGGGGTGCTTCAGTGTCATGGTTTAGGGGTGGGCTGGCCCTAAACCGGGACATTCAGGTACGGATCTTCTATCACGGAAGTCTAACCACACGGCCTCTTCTGCTTCAACCCAGTGAAAGGCTCGGCTTGGCACGGTCTCCCACCACCCAACTCAGCCCGGCAGCATCCGGAACTCCTCCAACGCGTCCCCTCACCTGGAACCGCGGACAAGCCCCGGTCCCAGTCCCCTCACCAGGCCGGAGAGGCACGGGCAGCGCCGGGGTAAGAGCCGGGCATCGGCACACTCCGGGGA